GAGCGCGGGTCGGGCGGGGGAGGTGAGGGGTGCTGGTGTGTGTGCATGTGCCTGGCTGGGTGCACATCCCGCACGGCGGCGGCGCCAGGACGCGAAGCGCTCCCCAGAACCCGGCGGCTGCCTGTCTCGGCTCTGGCGCCCGCGACCATGTTCCAGCCCACAGCCAAGCGCGGCTTTACCATCGAGTCCTTGGTGGCCAAGGACGGCGGCACGGGCGGGGGCACTAGCGGAGGGGGCGCGGGCTCCCATACCCTGGCGGCGGCCGCCTCGGAGGAGCCGCTCCGGCCCACGGCGCTAAATTACCCTCACCCCGCCGCGGCAGAGGCGGCCTTCGTGAGTGGTTTCCCCGCCGCCGCCTCGGGTGCGGGCCGCTCGCTCTACGGTGGGCCCGAGCTCGTGTTCCCCGAGGCCATGAACCACCCCGCACTGACCGTGCACCCGGCGCATCAGCTGGGCGCCTCCCCTCTGCAGCCCCCGCACTCCTTCTTCAGCGCCCAGCACCGGGACCCCCTGCACTTCTACCCCTGGGTCCTGCGGAACCGCTTCTTCGGCCACCGCTTCCAGGGTGAGTGCCCACGCTGTGCCAGCCTAGGCAGCCAGCAGGCGCCCGCGCTGCAGTGGCGTGGAGGAGGCTCGGGGGCGCGCGAGGCTGTTCGGAAGTTGTTGCGAAAAGGTTGCGGGTCTGCAAAGGTCAATTCCCAAACTGGGAAGAGCCGAGCTGGATCCATTGTGCTTCTGTCGCGTTAGGTTCCCTCCCAGAGAGCCATGCTGGGACTTCCAGGCTTTCCCAGGAATGATGCGGATCCGGACTCCAAGCCCGGGCGCATCCTTGGAGCTTCTCCTGGTCCTCCCGCTGGCCTACCTTAATCCCTCTCGTCTAGGCCAATCCGGCTGCGCCCGCCGCCCTCCCTCTACCCCGGCTGGGCCTGGGATCATGCTTCGCTCGCAGGTCCACCACCAACTCCCAAGATCCGCCCTCGCTGATGCGTCCCGGCAGGGGAAAGTCCAACCGCGTGTCTTGGGTCTGTGGGAAGAAGGGGCAGCGGGCAGGGCAAACTGAAGAGTTAATGTTCAGTGTGAAGTGTTCCGCTGTCTTGGGATGTTTCTCAGCAACGTCCGCCCGACTTCTCCAAGTCACACGCGCCTTTCAGACCCCGGGTGAGAAAGGTTTGCAATAGCAAACCAGCTTCCTCCGCCGTTTGCGAACTCTAGGAGACCACCTGGCCACTGGGGGACGGATGGCCATCCTCCCAGCCAGGGGCGGGAGCAAAAATCTTTTAAGGTCTTAGGCAGTATGAACCCCTACGACTGCACCGGGCAATAGGTTTGCTAATGAAGATCCCCCACTGGCCTTACACACACACACACACACACACACGCACACGCACACGCACACGCACACGCGCGCGCACACACACACATACACGTTTGAATTATCTGACTTTCCCAAAGGAAAG